CATATTCCTATAGCTTACCTTTGGTTAGTAGGGAATGGAAGAATGGTAGTACTAGTAGATGATAATTGTACCCCAGTCCTCCATTCCCTACTAACCCAAGCTAAGTCAGAGGAAGCCATGGGCGCTTTGGCTTCTTTTGCGCTTTAGGGTTTGGCTTGGGGGTTTAAGGTTTAGGCTTAGGGATTCTAAGATTTGGGATTTAGGGTTTGTTGTTTTGAGTTTAGGGGTTCAGGGTTACATCAGAGGAAGGGATAGGCTTTGGCTTCTTTTGGGCTTTAGGGCTTTGTTTCTTGGAACTTAGGGGTTCATGGTTTGGCTTTCGGGTTTAGGGCTTTCGGGATTAGGGTGTAGTCTGGTATCGATTCTGGTGCTTGTGCTGTTGTCTCAGCGCGCTTCTTCCAGGCTGAGAAACCCTAGCCCTATGAAGCCCCAACAGACCAAAGGGTTTTGGGTTTTGGGTTTAGGGTTTAGGGTTTAGGCACGAATAAGCCTAGAGGCATCTGTGCCAAGCCTTGATCTGGAAACCCGGCCTAACCCGAAACCCTAAACGTAAAACTCCGGAACCCCTAAGCCATGAACCCTAACTTCTATAGGTGCTGCGATTTAGGACTAGCCAACAAGCTGCAAATTGAGGGCTCGGCAGAGTGACTTCCTGAAGTCGTCCCAAGAAAATGTAGGTGAAACCCTAGACCCTAAACCCCTAAACCCTAAACCCTAAGTTCGCCGATTGCCTATGCCCTGGCCGTGAAACCTAAAGCATAACTGTGCCTTTTTCATCCTTGTAACTCGTAACCCTACAGCAATTTCAGCCCTAAACCTCCCAGACCTTCCAAAATCCCTTGATTAAGGAATATACCTTAAATCATATGAAGGATCCTACTATATAATTTAAGGTATATTCCTTTTAATTAAGGGGTTTTGGAAGGTCTGGGCTCTAAACCTACAGTACACTCAACCCCTGAAGCTGAGAAGCCCTAAACCCCATAAACTCTAGAGCCACGCGATAGTGGCCTGAATAATTGGAAGACCGCTTGGGGGGAGGGGTACAGTATACTATAAATAGAATAAGGAACCCCCAACATAGTATATATTTTTCAGAAGGTGCAAAGCTCTCCGAGAGCGTACCTCAACCCAACATAGTATACACATATATATATATATATATATATATATATATATATATATATATAATTGTTGTTGTTGTTGTTGTTGTTGTTGTTGTTGTTGTTGTTGTTGTTGTTGTTGTTGTTGTTGTTGTTGTTGTTGTTGTTGTTGTTGTTGTTGTTGTTGTTGTTGTTGTTGTTGTTGTTGTTGTTGTTGTTGTTGTTGTTGTTGTTGTTGTTGTTGTTGTTGTTGTTGTTGTTGTTGTTGTTGTTGTTGTTGTTGTTGTTGTTGTTGTTGTTGTTGTTGTTGTTGTTGTTGTTGTTGTTGTTGTTGTTGTTGTTGGTCGGACTCTAGAGCCCTCATTGGGGCGCGTCCAAACAACATAGTATAGGCAATTATTTAGGCCCCTATCTTAAACCCATAGCTCGGAAGCCCGAAACCGAAGGCGCAAAGCTCTCAGATCCCAAAGGTTCCATCTATCTTTATAGTAGATACTTAGACCTTAAAGGGGTCCCGACATAGGTACTTTAAGGCCTAAGTATCTACTATAAGGCCGATATAGGTACTTTAAGGCCTAAGTATCTACTATAAGGGTACATGGAGCCCCCGATATAGGTACTTTAAGGCCTAAGTATCTACTATAAGGGTACATGGAGCCTTAGGGGATGTAGCCCGGTAGCCCGGTCCAAGGTGCGGAGGGCCAGAACACCCGGGCGATAACGAGTGGTCTTCTTCATGGTGCCCACGGCGGGAGCCTGGGATTTTCGAGAATAGGCGCATCGTTAAGGGATCTATAGTACAAGCCAGAAAGTTGGAATATGATTATCCTAAACCCTTTATGGTAAATTATAGGGTATCCTACCATGAAACCCTATTCCAACTTTCTGGAGTTCCCTTTATAAGGTTATCACAGGAATGACTATAAGGGGCCTTAGTGGCCTAGTTTCTTGGAATGCTAAGCAACGCTAGTAGTACTCGTTCCGGCTTGCACTTTTCTCGCTGATTTGATCAATATGTATGCTTCAGCCTCAGCTCGATTCTGTGAATGTGATACTTGTAACTCAGGCTACAGGTAGGCATGTAATGTTCTTTAGCTCCGTCATGGATCTGCCTTGGAGTTCCCAGAGGCTCCATGTAGTTCCTTTTGGGGATTGCCCAATAGGGTTCGAAATATGAAGCCCAAAAAGGAACTTCTATGGAGCCTTAGGGTAAACCCAAGAACCGAAACCCTGAATCTCTGCGTGCCAAACCCAAAACCCCCAACGGACTGCCTAACAACATCGAACTTCTGGGAGGGACATGCTTCGTGACGCTTCGAAAGCCTAGGACCGACAACCAATCCAGCAAACTTCGATTCACCGTTCCACCCATCCCACAGGGTCCCAGGTAGGGTTATGGAGGATACTTCCTCAGATGATGATAGTAATCCCTAATACCGAAACCCTACATTCTACTATATAGGTACTTTGGAGAGACTGGGGCGGCTTATAGGTTCTCCTACCTGGACCCCAAACGTATGTAGAACAACAGCCCTTTTTGGGTACTGGGCCATTACTTTACCTACTTCTAGGGATTTAGGTAACCCTCCAGTAAGCCCAAAACTCTGCTTTTTACAAAGTCAAGACCACAACTTGGACGACCCGATGTGTTTCTACCTCTGCCGAACACTGGGGCAACCGCAGCCTTGCGTGCAGCCTTCGCAACCAAATCACCACGTGCTGCCTGAAGCGAGATTATGAGGACCTCTTAATACGTTGTACTAAGGCGCCCTAGAAGACTAGGTTATTTGAGGTCTTCTCGGTAAATCCGAAACACGCGTTGAACTCCAATGCCTCTTCCGTCTGCTTTTGGGATTGGTGGGCTTCACCAGGGCTTTCGAGGCCGGAAGACCTACCGTTCAAAGTGACACTTTCCGCATTAAGGAACCTAAGCCATGGAGAAGTGACCTTAGGAGCTACTTTGTCGGGATTTGTGTAGTTTAGAGTTGAAGAGCTCTCGCAGCAGTCGGGGGTTTGCTATGATGGAAGAAGTGCTGCTCGCGTCTGACAGTGCTCACCCCAAACGCCGCTCGAAGCTTACATCGAAACTTTGAGTGATACTCTGAAAAGGTGAATCCTCCCTCATACCGGTGTATGGTGAGCCAAGTACGCACAACAGTAGTTCCTACATCCCTGATACCTTCACCCCGCTAGCTAGGTAGGCCTCGAAAACCTGTTTGTCAGTGACATCCACTTGAGCCCGACACCGGTTAAGCATCCATACGCCCTAAACCCTAAACCCTAAACCCTAAACCCATACTACACCACCTAGCTTTGCATAAGGCTATACAGCCCCTCAGCCCAGAACCTTAGACCCTGAACCCTCCCGAACCCTAAACTTAAAAACCTGAAACCCCAAAGCATTAAAAGCCCTAAACACACTAAACCGTGGCCCAGCATGCACGACCTTTAGACTGTCGAGAACTTGTCTTGCCCGAAGGCTTTCATCACCAGACTCGCGGAGTTTGGGGGTTTGGGGTTTGGGGTTTAGGGTTTAGGTATAGGGGTTTAGGGTTGAGGATCCTTAGCACAGCAAAGCGAACATCAATTCAGCCCTGCCTTTCCACCGGCAGACTTCCTCGGTGGGAAGTTCACAGATGTGGGGAGGGTCATAAAATGGGAGTTTGGCCACTTTGGGTTTAGGGCAGGGCCTATGGCTTAGGGTGTATATAGGGAGGCTTGCTGAGTAGACAGTTTAGAGTATTTACGACTATCAACTACACGCTTCGTGCACGGATTTTGGACGAGGCCCTTGGTGACAAGATATCGTCAACTCATCGTGGAGTGCCCCTCAGGTTACATATGGCATAAGTTTCAGGGTGCCGTTCCATTAAACACACCTTCCGAGCTCGGGGGTTAAGGCCGAGGTCTAATCTAACGAGTCAAGGGGCTTCGGATCAGGGTCTGGAGTCTGAGCTTCGATTTACATGCAGGGTTGGCTTGGTTGTGGGACATCGGCTTTAGGGTCTGCGCGTGCAACCTTTGTCAGATCTACATGCCATTGACCTTGGGTACTGCCTCCATACAGTATAACAGTCTATAATAGGGCTACCATTAAGGGCCTAATATATATATTTTATATATATATATATATGCATGCATTATGAAGATTATGCGACTGTTACTGAGTGGGGCCAATACTTAACATTGACTTGCTGGCCCCTTCAGGATGGTTTTGAAAGCGACACACATGACATAAAGAGTACATCCCTAAACCCTGAAGGCCCTAAACCCCAGGCCCTACGTCAACCCCAAACAGAAGAGGCTGAAGGTTTCGCTGCCGAGCAATTAACTGGCACCATGAATCCATATCAAAAGAAATCCCCAAAGTCATGAGAAAACAGCAGAATGATTCAGCACCAAGACCTACAAAAAGAAGCATCCTCGAATTGCGCCCTGAGAACTGTAATGAACATCTGAATCGGCAAATCTAGTGAATACGGGGCCGTATTATGTAATACTTAGAAGTAGAAGTGAATTCCGTGTCGATGCCTGGACTGCTGATTTGTTCGGGCTTCTCACACTGGCCTTGCAGTGAGAGCGTCTTTCGGCGCATCAGCATGTAGGCGATGCTCCTGTGAGGAGCCTGTACAACGTCTTTACAGTCCTATACATGTGCCACACCCACGATGATGCATGGGAGCAAACTCGTGGGGACCATTCGCACCGTTGGCATGCTTGCCGGGTCCCTAGGTGCTCCCCTTGGCGTCGATGCTCACTGAGGCATCGATGGAAAATAAACACCAATAACTAACCCTAAGACTCCAAATATACAAATAGTACCTACTTTGGGGTCTAAAGTCTATAAATGCTACCTACTTTGGGCTATTTGGAGTCTTAGGGTAATATGGAGCGATATCAAACGCTGGCCGTGCCAGCAGTGGTCCTGACCCAGCAGCCGAAGGAGTGGAAAGTCAGAAGCCGAATCACCTTGACGAAGAGCACCGGTGCGAGGACGACGATGCACTCTTGCATTGCGGCCATCTGCCCTTGTTGACTGGCCTGCAAGAGCTCCACGCAGAAGCGGGCCAGGTAGATAGTAAGTGCAAAGGAGCCAACTGCAGTGCAGACTCGATTCCTGTGGACGAGAGCATCTACCTTCTCTGGGTTCACGGAATCGCTGATCGAGGCCTTGCGCAGACGGCTGCCAAAGTGCGTCGAAAGTGCTGCATCGACGAGCCATAGCAAAACCACACACGCCCCCAGCGCCAGCACAAGCATATCAGTGAAGGTGGCTGTGTGATTGTCGCTATCCATCAGGACCACGTGGAAAGCGATCTGCACAGCATAAAGCACCACCAGCAGCAAGTGTGCGATCACGATAGCTTGGAAGAAGGCAAGATAGTCCTCTAGTGTTTTCTCCGCGGTGTGGGTGATGACGCTGAAATATCGGGAGCACATGGCTTCACGGCGAAGACGATTCCCAGCAGCTGCTCTGACTTCACAAAGCTTGAGCCCAAACCGAGCTCCGGGAACTCGCCGCCTGCATTTCCTCGAAACTTGACGTGGAAACCCCTTACCAGTAGGCTCCATAGTAGTTCCTTTTGAAGGCTACCTTGTAGGATTCCAAATATATATATATATATATATAGATATGTATATGTATATATATATATATATATGTATATATATATATATATATATATATATATGTATATATTTGGAATCCTACAAGGTAATCTCCAAACGGTATATGAACGACAAAAAGGAACTGCTATGGAGCCTCTAGCTAACCGTTTCAAGACGAACACTTGACTCCCAGTACAGACCCGAAGCAACTGAAATCGTGGCCCCAAACTCACGCAAGGGGCGTAGAATCTGCGATCAGATACCCAGGGACCCAGGGGCGCCAAAGAATGTCAACAGTCAACACTGCCACCAAAGGTCGGGTCCATGAGGTTCCGAGATGTGGATGCGGCTGTTGGGGGTATGTGCTTGGGATCTGGAGCGTCGGGCTGGCAACTATATAGCTTCCCCAGTATCCCCTTCATAAGGGCAACCTTGCCCCGTACTATGAAGCTCAGAAAACCCTAAACCCAAAACCCTGAACCCTACCCCCCAAAATCCAAAGCCAAATTCCCTAAAAACCTTAAAGGAACTCCAGCCTTTTTGCCGAAACAAAAAACGAACAAGTAAAATGGTACGTTGGGGGGACCGAGGCAATCACAGCCGAGCTACTGTGCCGTCACCTTCGTCCTTGCCATTCTGGTTGCGAGGCTCCTTGGCGAATTTCCAAAAATCGCTCTTCTATGTGGGGCCGAAATAATCAGAATAGGACTTCAGAGCATAGTTTCAGTATAGTATGTAGTTTGTTTAGTTATGTGAGGATCCCTGAGGAAGAAAATTCGTTCTTGCACATTGCACATGTTGGAAGTTTATGAAGGCTTCTGTATTGCACTGCCAACAAGCAAGACATCTATCAAGTAGCTCATAACTCATTGGGACCCATGGGGCAAAAGCTCTAAGGAATTGAACCATTGAAACTGAACATTCAGCTAGCCCGGGAACCCTGTTAAACGCTAGGGCGTTCAAAACGCAGGGAACCTCCGTTTGGGATCGGGGTTTTGGAGACCCTAGCAGAACGTCGCTCCACCTCGACCACTACTGCGGCAAACCAACAACTATCCCTTAATCCTAAACCCAAACCATCAACCCTAAGCCCACAACTCTCAACCTAAGCCCTAACAAAACCCTATAAGCCCTAAAACCTGTTCACGCCGATCTGAGGCGCCGGCTTTGGGCGGAAAGGGCAAAGATGCAAAGACTTGCCTGGACTTGAAAGTCACTCCTCCTGCTTTGAGCCCAAGCCGACGCTTTCGGATTTACAGTACATTGGTTTAGGGTTTAGGGTTTTAGATATCGGTTTAGCAGTAGGAATTACTTCGAGTTTAGAATTCAGGCCTAGGGTATTGAAGCGGACATCTGGATGTTTGTTGATTCAGAATGACACAGCAAACTGCCGCACTCCCAGAAACCAGGAATAAGGGGAATCCGCCTGGCCCCGATCATCCTTGACATGTGTGTGTGTGTGTAAATTAAATGTATGTAAGTAAGTATGTACGTCTGTCTAATATGCAAATAATATGTAATGAAGTAAGTAAGCAGGTAAGTAAGTAATTAAGTATAGCGGTCTATGCATATACTAGTATAATGTAGTATAATTTGATCTGATACAGCATGTACAATACAACATAATAAACCTCAACATACCAGAGTCAAGATTTTTGAAATTCACAGTTGGCCTTAGCGATATATGACATTATTACACCTGTGGCCTCGATTCAGAAATCGAGGATATGCTGAGGTTCAGGGTCGAGGGTTCAGGGTCGAAGGTGGGGGGAGGGGTGGAGGCTTTGTGATGCTGGGCTACTCCTCAGCCAATGCGTCTGCTCAGTGCACCGGTGGTGCTTCGACGCCAATAGGGGCCTTCATAATGAGCATTTCGTCAACAATCACATCAAGAAGCCCTCACGAACAACACTGGCAATGATTGAGGCTTCTGTGTTTTCGAGGGCTGTGAACAAATGCAATCTTGTACGGCAGGACCTACCGACACTCTGCAATGCAGTTCTATTCGCTGTTTACTTGTCTCCTGTAGAATAGTGTCCTGCTTCTAATTGTCATGTTGGTTACAGAACAGTTAATGGATGGAAGAGCAAAGGTAGACCACACAAGGCTTTTGAGATATAGATCAGGCCCAGGGTATAAATGCGAACTTCAATAAACAGGGTGCCCCAAGACCCCTAGTAAGAAGCGGCCACAACATGAGTTCCAGAAGACAAAGCGAAACAGACTGCTGGGTTCTCTGGCCATGTACAGTCTGAATTTTTGCAGAGCGCAAGGCCTGTACATCGCGGCATCTTGGACAGACTCGAACTTTGAACATGGGCACAGCTCTCCGGTGGAATGGGCAGCTGGGCCAAAGTGTGTTGCATTGCGGCGCTATGGGACTGGCGGTAGATATTCCTTGCTCTGGGATAGGATGTTTCATTCAGCAGCACTTTGCATCTAATACCAAAAAAGGGAGATTTGGGCTTCGGGTAGCAAACCTGGCGACACGGTAACAGTAAGAGCAGATTGATTAGTAGTTGAGGCCATCTTGCACACTTAGGGTACTGCTCCGGCGGTAGCCCAAAGCTTCAAGAATTGAAACTCCACATCTTCATCGTGATGTTCGAGGTTGCACCTAAACCGTCAACCCTTAACCACAAACTCTTGAACCCCAAAGCCCTGCATTGTGGAGCCTAAACCCTCAGTCCTAAACCCTATACCATCTATACCCCCTCCCCTTTCTAACCAACTGATCTCAGGGCCTAGAGCCAACTTCATTCAGGCGGCTACCCCCTACTCCGACCCTGTTGACGACAAGACATCTTGGGTTGCCTTAAGCGGTCAGACGTATGATACATGTCTGAGAATCGATCAAGCTTGCATGTTCGTCCAGTACAAAGGGTTCCTGAATCCTTACACTTGCAACACTCATCACCAATTAGCACCTACAGTCCGCAACGTTAACCGTTGCCCAAAAAGCCTAGTACAGTGATTCGAAGGGTTTCGAGTATAATACACGATAACTACAGCAAGGAACTCCAGAATGTTGTAGGTAATATTAAGGCCCCTCTATTCGACCATCGCATGGAAGTTAAGAGCTGCATTCCTGGCAACAGAATTCAGCAAGGCGTCTCGTCAGGCACCTGTCCGAACATTTCCGTCTATACCGCTTCGTGGGCGCAGAGTACGGCTTAGGGGCTTGAGAGTTCGAAGCGGTCCGGCTTTAGAGTATCAGATTTCAGGAGATGAAGGTTCATTAGGCTTTGGGATTTGGAGCTATCGTGCTTGGGGTGCTGCCGGAATAGAGGGTTGAAGCCAAGCATTCCATTTCTTGCTGTCCCTTTAGGTGCAAGATTTTGCATTGCAAACTCACTCCTTGGATTTGGCTTGGGGCTCATGCTTATCGTGCATGCTGTTCCCGTTCGTGTCGTTGCAGCTGCTAGCACAAACCCTGAAGCCCTAAAACTCTAAACCCTAAACCCATTGCTCTGTGCAATACTATTGCTGAGGTTGCTCTCCTCCTCCTCCTCCTCCTCCTCCTCCTTCGAGTACTGTTGCTGTCATATACTCCTACTGCTACTAGTGCTACTAAATGCTACTGCTGCTACTGCTCCTGTGCCTGCTCCCGCTGCTGCTGATCCTACTGCTGCTACTGCCACTACCACTATGACCATGACGACGACACCACCGACGGCGACGGCAACGACAACGACGGCCAATTCTTCTACGACTACTCAACCGAATTAGCCTGCACTTTTGCAAAGCTTTGGTCGACGGGCCTTTCGGCCCAGTGTGCGAAAGCTTCGCTGGAGGCTTGGGGTACGCGGTCGAATTAATAACTATGTCCGAAAGCGACCCAGTTATAAGCGGGGTAGCCGGGGGGACTCACGGCTAGAATGCTTGAATCATCAAGCAGATCAAGCATACCCAGTACTTCCAACTGACCCGAAACCCGAGACACAAGCATCTCCTGTCACACGCACATTTTCCTGCCCACGGCTGAAAGGCGCCAGCTTGTGAAATGAAGCCCGAACCTGCACATGAACGGCAAACCGCTGCTTCTCTTAGAGGTGGGTTACAGATTAGGTACGGCCCCCATACAGTAAGAGCCTATAATAGCGCTACTATTAAGGTCCTACTTTTTCTCTCTGTTATGATTTTTTCAACTATTATTGAGTGGGGGCCGTACCCAAGTTACAGACCTCGACTGTTGTTATTGTTGGAGTTCTGTTCACAAGAAAATGGCGTAGCTCAAAAAACCTAATACACACTGCCACATGAATATAGAGTTATGCAAATCAACATACTACACAAACTGCTATGACGTAATACACAACGAAACCAAAAAATAGAACCTAGAATCCCGAAACCTGCGAACCCCCATAAAGCAAGGCCCATGCGGCCTATGTTATGGCACTCCCCCAGCTACATGCCCTAATCAGTAGGGTTCCAGGGTCTATTATCTTGTCCATTGTAGTAAGTAACCCAGAGGCACAGCATCGGTAGTTCTTCAGGCAATAAAATCCTGAACTAAAACCACCTGCGAACGCCACCAGAGGCTACCACGGGGTCTTTTGCCGTTGGGTGTTCAAAGGCTCACTTAGGGTGTTGGGGTATAAGCGTTTAGGGTTTAGGTAGGGCTTCAGCGCTTGGGGTTTGGGGTTGAGCCGGTTAGGGATACAGGATTGCGAGTTCAGATGGCAACCTGTCTATTACACGGTTTCGCACAAAAAAACCAAACCCTTCCACTTGTTCGGCGAGAAGCCAAAACCCCCCAACCAAAAAATACACTCAGTATAGGGGCCTTAACTGTTTCAATAGGGTTTTGGGGGGTGTATTCTGCCATAATT